GATAATGAACGAAATAAATGTATATTTAAAAATATATATATATAAAAAATAAATTGAAAAATTTGAAAAATTATATTTTTATGTTCGTGCCTTGGATAAGCACAATCTTATTTGAAGATTGTGGATGTACATAAATATTCAATCATGAATTTATTATTAGAATAAACGGGATACAAGGGAAATACGTTATGTGCAAAGATAAATACCGCTATTATAGAGGTGGTAAAAAAAATGACAGAGGGAGGGTAGGGTCGCTGGATAGGTGTCTACCACGCATTTTTGCTGCTACTTTCGGCTACTTTCACTCTCTCATTATATATATAACTATATATATAACTATATATATAACTATATATATATATATATATATATAGTTTAGGTGTATACATTAAAAGGTTTAAAATATCACGTGGTCAAAAGACCTACATATATAACTGCAAAATAAATCAGCTGAACCCCGGCTTGTGTCCATTACTAAAATGTAAGATGAGTTGGTTTTTTCTAAAACTGTCACTGTCATCGAGGCAAGTCCTAACATTACCGCGTCTTAAAATGCCTATCTGAGTCGTGGGTGGGTGTATGCGAGGGGTTGGGGTGGGGGTGGGTGGGCAATGCTTGGAAAAGGACTCAAACCACTGGTCCCTTCCTTATTCCATGGTCAATGTTTTTTTTAAATTTTTTTCTTCTTCACCTCCCCCCAAAATCTGGATGGATGCCGTGACCAGGTTGTGTCCCCATGTCACGATTGGCTGATTCGCGGGGCTACCTGTGCTTGACGCCAGGTAACCAAGGCGGACGAGTTACACGTACATGTCAGGGGTGATGTCATCACAAAAATTTAACATTTTTTTACGTCACTACCCATCTAACATATTGTATGGTTTCATTTCTATCAATCAAAAAAACCATCAGTAATATATCAACAACATCAATAGCTTGAATAGCATCAATAACATCAATAGCTTGAATAGCATCAATAACATCAATAGCTTGAATAGCATCAATAACATCAATAGCTTGAATAGCATCAATAACATCAATAGCTTGAATAGCATCAATAACATCAATAGCTTGAATAGCATCAATAACATCAATAGCTTGAATAGCATCAATAACATCAATAGCTTGAATAGCATCAATACCAAAAATAACATATTTAGTAACATTAAAATAAAATGTGTAAAACAGAGTAGGGTTAAACCTGAAAAAATAAACGCAACAGCGAACGTGTCGGCAGAAAGCCTTCGTCAGCGAACAAAACAACAACAAAAAACGGTATAAAAATAAGAAATAGCACTTAGCTGGTAAGTAGTATCTGTGGGGAGCAATAGAAGTGTGCAACATTAATAAAGTCAGTAACATCAGTAACATCAAAACATTAATAACACTAATAAAATCAATAACATTTAAAACACCAATAACATCGGTAAAATTTACAACATCAACAACATTTACAACATCAATAACATCAATAAAATTAACAAAATCAATAACATTTAGGACATCGATAAGATCCAAAAAATGAACACCATCAGTAACATTTAACATCACACTGTTCCTCGTATCACTCCGATGAAGACACTCAGTGTGATCAAATGGATCAAGGGTTGACCCACACACACACACAAAATAAAAAAGAAAGAACATTAAAGATGATCTAGTTATTAAAGGAAATCAATTCTTCTCATTTGTAATTTTTTTTCGGCTCTGTTCAGCTCACCATACATCCCTTACAAACTCCAACAAAAAATAAAATAAAAAATGGAACAACTAATAAGAAGTCACGGACTTTACTAAGCTTCGTACAAAAGTTAATCTTTTTACTTTTTAAAAAAAAAAAAAAAACTCAACCAAACATGAGAAAAATAGCAGACACATAAAAAAAATAATACTTTAAAAACACATTTCAATAAGCATTGCTTAAGTTAGACACCTTGGTTAAGGGGTTAGGGCTAGGGTTAGGTTATACTTAATATTTGGGTCAGGGTGTCCTTGTATTTTATCTATTGCGTAAAACAAAAACAAACAAAAAAAAAAATATTTTTATTGAGAATTATAGGCCTCGTCAAAAAATATATGAAGAAAAATATATATATATATATATATATTCCACTAACACTAACGCAGTGTTTCGGCTGCAGAGTGTAAGAGAATCAATCAAGTTAAATCTATGTGTCTACGTGCAAGTATATACAACAAGGGTAAATATAATAACAAGGGTATATTAAATTAGAATGTCATCATTGTGTCATTAAAGTCGTTAAATATGTACATGAATATAATTGCACATAAAAACTTTAATATATGTGAATTTCCACGTACGTACATACATATATATGTGATCATATATATGACATAGTCCATCCGAAATATAAAGATAAGAAAAAAGAAAGAATTAAAAAAACTTTTTAGTCAACAAAGTATTGATTTATCATGAGATTATTACATAAAAGTGGGGTTTAATACATGAAAGTGGGCATTTCATACATGAAAGTGGGCATTTAATACATGAAAGTGGACATTTCATACATGAAAGTGGACATTTCATACATGAAAGTGGGCATTTCATACATGAAAGTGGGCATTTAATACATGAAAGTGGACATTTCATACATGAAAGTGGGCATTTAATACATGAAAGTGGACATTTCATACATGAAAGTGGACATTTCATACATGAAAGTGGGCATTTAATACATGAAAGTGGACATTTCATACATGAAAGTGGGCATTTAATACATGAAAGTGGACATTTCATACATGAAAGTGGACATTTCATACATGAAAGTGGGCATTTAATACATGAAAGTGGACATTTCATACATGAAAGTGGGCATTTAATACATGAAAGTGGACATTTCATACATGAAAGTGGGCATTTGACTTTAAAATTACTATACCTAAAACATGACGTAAACATCTGTGATAAATTCGCAGACGCACGGTTGTAGCTTGATAAACATTTAAAAAAAAACATTCTAAACTGATCCATTTTTCAAATTTGAGAATTTCGTTTAAGTCTAGAGTCCTCTAAGGCGTGAGTTTGGCACAGAAACCACCAAGTGAAAATTTTCACGAATTGGTGACAAGGTCAATACACGATCAGATTAAAATAAACGATAAGATTAATACATGATAATATCAATACATGACGAGATAAATACGCAGCAAGATCAATATACATTGCGCAGTATGCGGTACTCTGGATAATAACTCCGGCGGACTTCGGTCTGCCCTAAGGCACTTCGGTCTGCCCTAAGGCACTTCGGTCTGCCCTAAGGCACTTCGGTCTGCCCTAAGGCACCGGTCTGCCCTAAGGCACTTCGGTCTGCCCTAAGGCACTTCGGTCTGCCCTAAGGCACTTCGGTCTGCCCTAAGGCACTTCGGTCTGCCCTAAGGCACCGGTCTGCCCTAAGGCACCGGTAGGCACGTCGGTCTGCCCTAAGGCACTTCGGTCTGCCCTAACGCACCGGTCTGCCCTAGGGCACTTCGGTCTGCCCTAAGGCACTTCGGTCTGCCCTAAGGCACTTCGGTCTGCCCTAAGGCACTTCGGTCTGCCCTAAGGCACCGGTCTGCCCTAAGGCACCGGTCTGCCCTAAGGCACTTCGGTCTGCCCTAAGGCACCGGTCTCATCGGCAACCTTTTAATGAAAATAGTTGACACGTCCGCCACAAATGACTAGCCCACAATATCCACATCAGACATGCAAGTGGCACATTCTTAAGAGAGGACAGTTCAAGGTTTAAAAAAAAATAAAAGGCATGTGGGGGGGGGGGGTAATTGAAAAAAAGTTAGATTATTACAAGCGATTCATTGAAAAGGATTACGCGAATCGATGAATCCAGGTTATAATTTGATGCAACTCATTACAAGGGATGGTGAGGAAATTGAAAATACCAGTGCTGCAATGCAACTAGAAATTTTGTAGATATTTCCCAAGCAACAGTTATCGTATAATGAATGACCGGAAGCTATTGGCCACCATTGTATACAATATATATATATGTAGATTCTATTTCTTTTTAATTCAATAAGCATACACGTTTTTTTTCGTTGTACATAATATGTATTAACCTAATGGTGTCTGAAATAAAAAATCAGCATTAACATATCTTTAGAAGAATGTTTTTCCTGAAATGTGTATACATTTTTTGAGGACTCTCTTTCTCTCATTCTATTTAATGGTATATATAACGAGTATAAAAGGGATATCATAACACATAAAAACTCTTTGTTTTAAACTTTCTATTTATATACATGTGTAAAGTATGATGATAAATTTGATGTTGGCCGAGCAGTTTCTCTTCAAAATAAACAAATGCAATGAAGAAAAAACATTAGCCAATTTTTAAACAAAATGACACAGATAAGATTGACACTCTCCTAATCTTTACGACGACACCACCAACGTCCTTTGACGCGGGGCAGAGGCGTAGCGAGGGGGGCGCCAAAATGCGCTTTGATATTATTTTATTGATGAAAATAATGGGTTTGAGAGTTAAAAAAAAATAAAAAGGGGTGCTTTAAAATGGATCTTATCCCCGGGCGCGAATCTTATCCCCGGGTGCCAAACAACCTCGCTACGCCTCTGACACGGGGTTGAGTCAATCTTTTATTAAAAATGATGACCGACAAGTGACTTGGAACTTGGACTTTTTCACTGCTTACTTACTTCGCAAATAAGTTTTAAAAAATAAATTAACAACAAAATTTTTTTTTAAAAAGTAGAAGAAAAAAATCCTTTTATCCCTGCTGTGATAAGAAAATACGACAGTCTCATTAAAAAAAAAACTTTCCTTTTGCCAATTTCTTTTTAACTAGGAAGTTTACGGAATGTCATCTTTCTTTTCTTTTCCATCTTCTCCTCCCTCTTTTCCCACCCACCCCCAGCCTTAATTTAATTTTCATAAGTTTCTTAATTACGCCATGTACGTCATTACAAGTACTTTAAAGAACAGATCGATTTTTCCCCCGAACCCCCCTCCCTTTCCAAAGATTGATTCCTTTCCGAGGGCCCACTGAAAGGTGGACGGCCTCTAAGTTAAGTTAATTTCACCCCCTCCCCCTTTTTTTGTTTGTTCTCTTAAATATGAATTCCTTGTCACAAGTCCCCCTAGAAGGTCCTGGGCACCTATCATATGAAGGGGACCTAAAGGGTGTGTGGCACCTACAGTGTGTGGGGACCTAAATGGTCTGGGGCGCCTACAGTGTGCGGGAACCTAAAGGGTGTGTGGCACCTACAGTGTGTGGGGACCTAAATGGTCTGGGGCGCCTATAATGTGCGGGGACTTAAATGCTGTGGGGCACCTACAATGTGCGGGGGTCCTAAATGGTGCGTGACCCCTTAAAGGTGCATGACACCTAGCTAAGTCCCAACTGCGCCTTTAGTTTTTTTCCGGTCAGTTACACTTATTTAAATGAATACATTTATTTTAACTTATGAACGCCCTGACGACTCCCTTGACTGGCTTCCTGCAGACCGGGCAGTCCTTCATGGCAGAAGCGCACTCAGCACACGATATCAGATGACCACAGGGCAGGAACACGACGGCGACCTCTTTGTCCATACAAATCTTGCACACGGTCTGTTGGCGGAGCTGGTTGTTCTTCTCTTTCAAGGTTCGCATTCTTTCTATTTTAAAAAAAATAATAATAATAAAGATTATTTAATTTTAATTAGAATCAAAGAATAAACGTTTTTTCCCTTTTTATTTAGAAGTTTCGGGAAGTCTTTTTCATTACGATTAAGAGCGTACGATTCGTTATTTATCTACAAACACGCCAATGACTTCCGATTACAGTTTATTTCAAGAATATGTTTAACACAGCGGTTCTTAACCTGGGTTCGATCGAACCCCAAGGGTTCGGTGAGTCAGTCTCAGCGGTTCGGCGGAGGTTCAAACAAAAAAAAAAAAATCAGGAAAAAAAGTCATATTTTATTTTTCCTATTAAGAAGGGTTAGGTGAATGCGCATATGAAACTGGTGGGGTTCGGTACCCCCCCCAAAAAAGGTTAAGAACCACTGGTTGAACATATTCTTGGAGTTGAAATGTGCTGTGATGTTTTGTCATACTCTCTGCCTCAGCACAGATCACAATTTTTTAGAACAAAATGTTCTTTTATCGTCATCTTTTTTTTCTCCATTTATACATATTTATGGGCCCGAGGTATTGCTCTTTTTTATGGCCCCGACAAACAATTTACATGGATGCCGATTATTCTGGGCGTCGCCGTACATCAGACTTTGTGCGTGGAAGTCTTGGGTGCTCCCAACCCCCCCCCTTCCACTCATTAGTCCTGGGCACTAGCCTAGTCAGTGCACCATTGTCTCCGGCGCCTGTCTGCAGTGACGGCAGCTCGGCGCCCCGAAGAGGATGTAATGTGTTCAAGTAACTACGAGTGGGACAGTGAACTTCCCGTAGGACAGTGAACTTTGAGAAGGACAGTGGACTTCGAGTAGGACATTCCTACACTATGTATTTCCTATCTGATGACCTTCCAGTTATTACCGTTGCTTAACATTGATAGTGAGAAATCTTTGCAGTCGACTGACTCCCCGAGAAGCTGTTGGGAATAGAAATCAACACATTTCTTTCACCGTCGTACTCATGACCAGTCTTATCTCCCCTTTTGAAAACTTTTAGAACTTAAAGTGTTCTGTTGTCAATGTGTTGGGCAGATGCTCTTGACCGTTTCAGCAATGACGATAAGCGTAGCCCTCCATTGAAAATAAACATTTAAGTGGCGTCAGATGATGTACTCAAAAATATTTTTACAAAAAAACTATTATTTTAAATACCCCCGGGGTCAAGTGTCAACGTCAATGGTTTAGTAAATATACACTACACTGAATTCCCGAAAAACATATTTAATGAGTTTGAAACAGTGTTTATTTATTAATAAAGCTTGTCTATTTACATGACAAATCTTGTCCAAGAATTCTTTATATGGTATTGTGAAGTACTAAAAACTGTAAGCAGAATTAAAAGAAATAAAGACGCATCTGTTTCAACACTTTATTAAAGTATCTTTTCCCATTTGCGTAACCTTGATTGCTCAATAAGTTGGTGGTCACAACTTTGGCAATATCACCAGATTCATTTCATTAAAAAAATATTTTTTTTGAAAATAACCCTTCTACCTTCTGACGGGCGTCTTTTTTTTTTTTTTTCACTTTCGCTTTGAGTTGTACATACATTTCCTCCGGACAGGGGAAGCCTTTAATTTTAACCAAGTGTCTGGTCCATACAGTTTTTTTTTTTTTTTTTTCACTTTTGCTTTGAGTTGTACTTCCTTTTCCTCCGGACTGGGGAAGCCTTTAATTTTAACCAATTTTCTGGTCCTTTTATTTTTTTTTTTTTTTAAATATCTTCATACAGCGAATTTTAAAGCTATTAGCTTGCACCCGTCTCCAACTAATCTACCATATCTTATATTATCTTACATTATCTCATCATAAACACATTCTCTAAACGAAGTTAATGGGGGTTTTTTGTTTTTGTTTTTGGTTTTTTGGGGGAAGGGGTGGGGTTGGAGGGAAAAGGGGTGTGGGGGGGGGGAGAGAATTTCATTTTTCCATTTCATGTTAGAACAGTTTAAATAAAATTAAACTCCGTATCGTTCAAACTAATCAAAAAGTTACACCAGTGTGTTGAACATTCAAAACGGAAATTCAATCGCCAGATGTTGGTTTAAGAAAAAAAAAAGGAAAGAAAATATTCTTGCTACTAGACGAAGCCCTTAGAATGCGAACCACGTTTCTTGAAGATTATTAATATCTTGGCTTTTTATCACGTCCCTTTTAGAACAATTAACTTCTTGTTTCCTTTCCTGTTTTGAAATCTGACGCATGCTAATAAAATACTCTCCAACCTTTCGTGTACACATAGGGATGAATAGTCAGAATCTAGGACTTATTCTATCCATATTTAGAAATTTTGAAACGAGACATGATGATGGCCATATAAGGAACAGAGCAAAAGGGATCTCAAACTGTGAAGAGGAAATCAATAAAATAAAGCTGTCCTATTTGGGGTAATTTATTTTTTAATAGATTTTTTTACCCTACTGTTTCATTTTATTTGAGATATTGTTAGAAAAATGTACCTATAATTCTACCCCCCAAAACTGGGGAAAATGCTATGATGCGTGCATAGTAAGAAACAAGAAAACAAACCGTGTTAAATATTCTTTTCAAAGAAAACCTGATCGCTTTTAATATTAATTATTAATTGAAATCAACATAGTCACAGTGCATGTTTAAAAAAAAATTAATTTGACTTTTTAAGGTTAATTTAAAAAGAAAAAAAAAACTCATTTAATTGTTGTTACCTAAGGTTTCGTTTGCATTTGACACTGTCAGTGGGGCAATAGTTGTAGGTACTTTAACCCTTCGACAGCTATCTTTGTTTAATCTTTCCAGTATAGAATCAGATGACACCAAACTGACTGTTTCAAAGATGATCAAACATGAGAGTACATTAAAATAGAAAAAAAAAACAAAAACAAAAAAACAAAAGACATTAGTGAAGCGAAATTATGCGGTGTTATAACAGTTTGTAGAACTCATGCTGCAAGCAATGTTTATAAAATAGTATAGCATTTCGAAAAAGTAGGTACCCCTTTTAACAGTAAGTTTTTTAAAGTGTTTAAAAAATTTTTTTATCCAAATATAATTTTAAAAAAAAAATAATAATAATTTACAACTGCAATGACCATCTTTCAAATTTGAACCGTAGTGTAGCTATAATTTTTTTTTTTTTTTTTAATATAAAAAGATGATACATGTTTATAAAAAAGCTTCTTTGACGATTAGATCGGAAGTATCAATCACATACACATATGGTATTGAATTATTTTTTAATAAAAAGATATCTTAACATATAGTTTGTGTGAATCTCAATCACGGTAACATTCAAAACACGAATGCAGTGTTATAACGCTAAACTCACATTCCTCTTTGACAAACTTGGCAGCACACAGAACGTCGTGTTCAGCGTAACCCAGGGCAACCAGAGTCTTCACGGCAGCGTCATTCTTCAATGGCGACTCTTTCGATTCTGAAATATTAACAGCAGATCAGATTCAGATGTTTGGTTTTTTTTTTTTTTTTTTTTTTTTAAAAATTTTTTTAATTTTTTTTTTTTTACTTTCGATTCTGAAATATTAACAGCAGATCAGATTCAGATGTTTGGTTTTTTTTTTTTTTTTTTTTTTTTAAACAATTTTTTAAATTATTTTTTTTTAAATTTCAATTATTCATATTTTAAAATAATTTAATAAAAAACACTTAAATATTTAAATATTAATTTTTTTTTTTTTTTTTTTTTTTTTTTTTTTAAACAATTTTTTAAATTATTTTTGTTTAAATATCGAATATTCATATGGTCAAATAATATAATAATTAATACCTAAATATATAAATATCAAATTTCTTTTTTTTTTAAACGTAGAATTTATTTGAATTCATTTACAATATACAAGAAGATTGGATTTTTTTTTTTTTTAAAGTCATTTTAAATTTCATGAAAAAATAAATCATATTTTATCTTTTACCAAAAAAAGTTTATTGAGAATGTTTATTTCACTGGGTTTTTTTTATGTTTGAAACATTATGTTCATATTTGTACAGTAGACATAACAGAATTTTTAAATGATTTTAATGTGTGCAATACATAGCATTTTAACAAAATGCGGTTACCAAGATTGTATAATGAAGGTTGGCCTGTTTTATTTATCACCATCTGGTAAGGAATCTGTGGAACATTTGAATAACTAGGAAATGAGTAAAACAAAGTATGTGAAAACCTGAAATAGGAACGCAACAAAACAACGAACGTGTCGGCAGGAAGCCTTCGTCGTCTAAAAAAAAAAACATTAAAAAAAAAAACTAAAAATTAAACAAAAATAGAACTTAGCTGAAAAGGAGTATCCGAGAGGGCAGCAAAAGAACAACTATTCCCATAAAATTGTGTATCCAATTTATCTTAGTTGATAAGATGCAAAGTTCAGCTTTAACGTTCTGAATGATTCTTTACCATGAAAATTACCGTTATATTTTATCAGCTCCATTCCCATCCAAATACTTGTTTTATATTTAAATCTAAACACCTACCACGGTGTACTGTTTGTTCAGTTCCTGAACGGTGTCCACGAAAACTTGCCCCATCTGCTGACGGATGTAGGCGCATTTAGGAAACCATCTCGCGTGCTCCACCCACACGTCATCTTCGTCCTCCCAGTTTCTCAGGCCACCTCCACAGTAGAAACATCTGGCACAGTCCCCGTAGCCTGGAATGGAAATGGCGCCTTAACTTAATTATTTTTAAATATTGTTTTTTTTTCTTGTCATAGAATCTGGTTAAGAATAAATTTCAATATAGTTAACATCCATCCAGACAACCATGCAGAAAGTCTGATTTGTGGCGCTACAGCCCATGTAGGACTTTGCCCTAACTCTCCACTTACATCCACTTAGCCATGGCTGATGCTCTTCTTCTCCATGCTTGGATTCCCAGTTGTTGTAGATCATTTTCTACCTCATCCACCCATCTAAGCCTAGGTCTACCCTTGAGCCGTTTCCATCTGAGGTTTTGGTGGTGCACCCTCTTCACTCCTCTGTCATTTGGCATTCTCTCTAAGATTCCTGTCCAGCGTAGCCTGTCCTTTTTTATATATATTGCTACTTGTGTGGGATCCTGAGATCGTCTATACAACGCCTGGTTGGTTCGTATTCTCCATTTCATATTCATCCTTTGTTGGTCCATATATTTTCCGAAGAACTTTTCTCTACCATGTGTTTAATAGGTTTTTCTTCCTTTTTTTTGTAAGGATCCAAGTTTTAATTGCTTATGTCATAACTGGTCTAATTAGTTTTAAATACAGTTTTCTTTGTTTTTCCTTCCTATTTTTTACTTTTTCAGTATTTTCTGATTGATGAAGTAGGCCCTGTTTTCGGCCAATAATTTTAAAAAAAAAATATTTTTTTAAGTAATTTATTTCTATTATTTATTAAAGATTCCAAGTATTTAAATTGATTTACTTTTACAAAAGTGTGATGTCTCCTTAATGGCGTCATCTGTTTGTTCTTCTCTTATCATATGTCATGTAATTTTTATTTTTTTGGGGTTAACTTCCAGCCCAGCTTGTAGTGATGCATTTTCTAATTCAGCATAGTTAACCCCATATTTATTAGTAAAAGCTGGAAATATGTAAGTTTCAATAACTCTATGCTTGTCATACAAATAAGGAAACAAATTGTTGACTATAACTATTGAAATCTATGAATAGGACATGACTTTTAAGTATGTGTATGCGATACTCACCCGCATAATAAAATCCGGCTTCTGAAAGCTGCTCAGGGGTCAAGTGATGGTCTCTAGGCCAGTTATCAAATGTCCGCAGACGGCTTATTTTAGGGGCGTACTCGGTTCTCTTTGGCCTCTCCGTGATTATTCCTAATTCAGAGTATGTGGGACCCTTGGCGTTGCCGCTGCTGGTTGGCGTATTTCCCGTTGTGTTTGCTTGACCACCTCTGCTGTTGGGGACAGCGTCACCTGTCAATGTCTCTACTGGGGTGGTGGCCATCCCACTAGCAACCACCTCTTGATTCGTGTTGATTGTATTTTGTGAACTTGCCCGGCCGTCTGACCCAGTGGGTGTTGGGGCGGGTAAAGAAAGGGAGGGAGCTGCATCTCCCCGCTGTGCTGGTACGGGTATGTTAGGGGTGGTTTGTGAAATTGACGCATGCGCAGAAGGAGACTGTGATAAAAGGGGTTGTGTTGAATCCTGTATTTCAGGGAACGCAGGGATGCTCGACAGGTTATTATAAGAAGAATTCGAAGGTAATGCAATTGAATTTCCCTCATTTGAACTTTGAAATCCGCGGTTCACAGTGGGTTGTACCAACGGTACTGCAGTTGGCCGTATGGGTCTAGGGAGGCTCTGCGTTGCCAACTGTATTCTATTCGTTCTTTCTGGATGCGGTCTATATCTTCCATTAGACGGCTGACTTGTCTCGAGTGTAGAATCTGTTTCTATCAAGTTAGATGCATTTGGTAAAGCCATCGCTCCATTTACATTACTTTTTTGTGTATTCGCATTAGTTACATAGGATAAGGTCGCGCTCTGAGTTCCTATTGGTTCATTTTCACAATCAAGTCCCGTAATCATTGGACACTCTGGGGACAACTCTCTATGTACGACGCCTATGGAATCTAACGGCTGCCACTTCTTCTTCTGTCTACAGCAGAAATAACAAATCACGTGGTCATCTAAATTCCCGCCAGCTCCGATATAAATGAAACCTTCGCTGGCCAGCAGAAGCGAGGATTTTGACGCGCTGACAGGATATCTGGCAAACGTTCTTATCCTATTGACTTCTCGTTTAAACATATGCCACAACATACCACAAACCACGCTCGGGTGGGGCAGATTGATCCCCGGAACCATGTACACTTGCAGTTCTTGTGGTTGTATTCGTAAGTGTATCCCGTTTAAAA